TGGCCTCCGACCCAAGAGCAATGGCCTCCAACCTAAGAGCGATGGCCTCCAACCTAATAACGATGGCCTCCAACCTATATAATATCGATGGCCTCCAACCTAATAGCAGTGCCCTCCAACCTAATAACGATGGCAAGAAGACCTAAGAGCGACGCCTCCTATCTACTAGCAATGGCCTCCAACCGACTAGCGATGGCCTCCAACCTCATAGCGATAGCCTCCAACCTGAGAGTGATCGCCTCCAACCTAAGAGCGATGGCCTCCAACCTAAGACCAATGGCCTCCAACCTACCAGCGATGGCCTCCAACCTAATAGCGATGGATGGCCTCCAACCCAGGAGCGATAGCCTCAAACCTAAGAGCGATGGCCTCCAACCTAAGAGCGATGGCCTCCAATCATATCCAACCTAATACTAGTAGCAATGGCCTCCAACCTAAGAGCGATGGCCTCCAACCTAAGATCTATGGCCTCCAACTCCAGCCCACTATATATAGTTATATAGTGATGGCCTCCAACCCACTATATAGTGATGGCCTCCAACCTAAGAGCGACGGCCTCCAATCTATGAGCGATGGCCTCCAACCTAAGAGGGATGGTCTCCACCCTTATAGCAATTATGGCCTCCAATCTACTAGCAATGGCCTCCAACCTAATAGCAATGGTCTTCAACCTAAGAGCGATGGCATCCAACCTAAGAGCGATGGCCTCCAACCTACTAGCAAAGGCCTCCAACCTAAGAGCGAGGCCTCCAATCTACTAGCAATGGCATCCAACCTAGTAACACTGGCCCCCAACCTAAGAGCGATGGCGTCCAACCTAAGGCCTAAGAGCGATGGCCTCCAATCTACTAGCAATGGCCTCCAACCTAAAACCTAAGAGCGATGGCCTCCAATCTACTAGCAATGGCCTCCAACCTACTAGCAATGGCCTCGAGCCTAGTAGCGATGGCCTCCAACCTCAGAGCGCTGGCCTCCAATCTAATAGCAATGGTCTCCAACCGACTAGCAATGGCCTCCAACGTACTAGCGATGGCCTCAAACCTAAGAGCAATGATAGCGGCGATAAGGGCAAAGGCCTCCGACCAAAGAGTATTGGCCTCCAACCAAATCGCCTCCAACCTACTAGCAATGGCCTAGAGCGGTGGCCTCCAACCTACTAGCAATCGCCTCCAACCTAATGGCGATGACCTCCAACCTACTAGCGATGGCCTCCAACCTAATACCGACGGCCTCCAACCTAATAGCGACGGCCTCCAACCTAATAGCGATGGCCTCCAACCTAATAGGCATGCCTAATAGCGATGGCCTCCAACCTACTAGCGATGGCCTCCAACCTAATATAATTTTCTTAAGTGCAATGACCTCCAACTAGTGATGGCCTCCAACCTACCAGCGATGGCCTCCAACCTAAGAGTAATGGCCTCCAACCTAAGAGCGATGGCCTCCAACCTAAGAGTAATGGCCTCCAACCTACTACAGTAGCGATGGCCTCGAGCCTACTAGCGATGGCGTCGAGCCTCCAACCTAGGAGCGGGCCTCCAACCTAATAGCACATTGCCGAAAGGTCGAAGGAGTGCAACAATGGTGCTTATGGTGGTACCAAGTAGAATCGGATTCCAGTTGTCGGCGGTGCTGCTCTCTTTTTCGAAGTCTTGAGAGAGTCTATCAACTGGACCAGCTGGACAGCGTGAGGATGCGTGAGGTGTTTGTTACCTCAGAAGGCTCACTCACCTGCTGTTCGGCAACCCCAGTCCTGCCAGGAGCTCAATAGCTTGTGGACATTGTGCCGATGAAAAGTGGAACTCTGGATCGTGTTCTTGACATTGCTTAGCAACATGCCACAGGCCTTAACATGCCGGCCTTAACTACCGGTTAGGAACTACAAACGCAGGCCTGGATGATGATAATGATAATATGAAACATACAAACTAGATGAATGGGTATGAAATGGTATGAATGGCAAGGAGTTCTTTAGACTTTTCAATGAATGAAACTGTTCAATCAAATTTCAGTTCGGCACTTGGCTCAGCACTCGGCTCTGCTTGGCGCTCCTTCCGGCCCCTCAAACACTTCACGTGTCTCTGGCGTGCCCTGGCAGACGCCGAAGGGTGCTGCTGTCCTGGTCACGAAACACACAAAGGGCACAACCGAAGCAGCACCAATCAATTTGTGTTTTAACTTATAAAGTGTTTATGTGTGAAAAAGACTGTTATTTCTGCGCTTTGTGTGAATAGTTTGTGCTCACCCTGTGTAACTTGTGCCCATCTGCATTCGAGCTCTCTCTCCCTTTGTGCTGCTCCCCTTCTTTCTGAGCTTGAGGCGCACCGACCACCTCGTTGCCTCTGCCAGCCTGAGTGATCACATGGCACAAGGGATGACAACTTTGTGTGCTAATCTGAACATTGATCGCAAGACTTTGGATCGTCACCTTTATGCGCTCGATCTGGATCCCCCACCAGTTTTGTCATCTCCAGAGTTTTCCAGATCTTCTCCATGATGGACAACTCAGAGAGACCTCATGTCACCCCACTCAATCAATTGGGAAATGAAAAAATCAAACTCCTGACGCCAAGGATGCCAAGTCAGATCCGACTTGGTCCGGCCATCGAGTCTACAAGGCGAGATAAGGTCGAATCCAGACCGGATTTGGCTGTTACACACATCCTTCATTTAGGTTGGAGGCCATTGCTATTAGTAAAAAGAAGATGGTTCTTTCTTTGCCTTGGCTTCAACAATCTTGGCTTCAACATCTCGGCTCTGGGTGAGCGGCTGGGCATCAGTTTTTGACTTGCCGCCGCCTCTGTGGCTAAAGCCTCCAACCTGGCGACAGTATCCACTCATAAGATGCAAATGGTGTGCCTTCTTGGTACGGCTTAAGCTGCCGGTGAAACGAGCTGCGGAGCTGCCGCCATCGGTCAGAGAGCCGGTGCCAACGATTTGCATCACCTCAAAGCCAAGAAAAGAGTGCCCAGATTGCCACAGGTAGAAGAGAAGTGTACTTGAGCATTCGTCTTGCAGACCTCTCTCAGCCTTGCCTTCTTTGCACGCAGAAAACGCGAAGAACTAAGAAGACTAGGAAGATAAGGAAAGCATAAGAATCAGAAAACCAAAAAACTGGTAGACTCTGGTAGGCTCGGTACGCTGGACCCTTGCATTCTGGGTCTGGTTCAACATGGTTCGTCCCCAATCGTTTACGAACAACATCCAAAAACAATTGAATGACATCTCAGCTACATCTATGGCTGCCATGGCCGGCAGCTAAAACATATTGGGACCGGCCTTTGCTGATGGGGACTGGGAGCCCCTGAGCCTGCACATGGTGAAGACAATAGGAGAGAGGATACAAGGATACAATATAGCGCCTTTTCAGGACAACACTCTCGTTTAGAAGGGAATACATACGTACATATATGTGTGTATATATATATATGTATACTGTCTTACTCCATCCTGAGGACTGCACTACGTACCCCGTGAAATTTGTGCAAAGACGTGCAAATAGCCAAATCTCTTCCTTCGTACCACTGCAATTTACAATTGTGATGTCGGACTGTCGGACACATGTTGAATTTGCAGGAAGCAAACGGTCTTTGTGCCTCACTCTCTCATGTCTTACCACCCTCTTCTCACTCTCCAAACAGACTTTGTGCGCAGAATGTCGCAAAGTCGAGCCTCTGCCACCTCTTCATCTCTCTGCAGCTCTTCTCGCTCTAGCCTCGCCGACGCAACGTGGGAGTTCCTGGCAACACCCCCCTCGGGGCACCACATGGATCTGCTTCTCAGCACCAATGTGTTCGGAAAAACACATAGATGTTCGTTTAGACTGAACTTGGAGAAATCCGACCCTTTGTTTCAACGACCCTAACGACCCCATTGCTGAGCCCAGGGACAAAAGCTCATCTAAGCGAAAGAGCAAATCAGCTCCAGGCCATTTGGCCTCAGGGCCGTTTGAGGCAACGAAAATTGCAACCAGTAAAGCTAGCAACCAATATGTGCTCATCTCTTGGGAAATTCAAACTTTGATTTCGACCTATGGGGCTGCCTGATTGCACAAAAACCTGTAGTTTCCATTGTCTGAGCATGGGTTTCATCGCCAGAGCGGCACGGCTACATCTGAGAGTCATATCACTGAGGCAATCACCACGGCATCCTGAGGCAGCACCACGTTCTGGGTGAACTGTTCCCATTGGGACCTTAGTTGAGGCCAACATCGATGGCCTCCAAGCTACTAGCGATGGCCTCCAACCTGATAGGAGTAAGTGCACATGCACAACCTTTGACGTTCGCTGTATCGCTGATTACCTACCCGATGCTGGCCTTTTTTATGGCTGCAGCTTCCGCAGCTTCGCTGCCAGCTTCGCTGCGCTGTGCAAAACTGTTAACCTAAAATCAATCAAGTTCATGTTTGTTCAGGTACATGCTTCTTTGTTCAGGGGTGGCCAAAATAAATGCCCAGTGCCCAGTGCGGAGGGGTACTTTTTTGCAAAGGGATTCTAGGGTATCAATCATGATGGTCAGGTCGTACACGTAATCCTGCTCAATTAGTTGAAGAAGAATAAGCACTTCAGCTTTGCATTATTCATTGATCAGAAGGCCAAAAGTTTGTGCTTCAAGAAGTAATGTAGCCATCATTGTGACTGCTCTGTGAAGCTGAGCTTCGTTGTTACAGTATATGCATTCTGTTCTTTTCTGAGACCTTTAAACCGTGTTTTTCGTCCATTGTTCTTTCTTGTTTTTTTTTAGACCTCTAGGCATCCTTTTGCCTTCCTGTCTATTCCTTTCTTTTGTTTGTTGTTCTGTGTTCTTTATCATTGGACCTTTAGACTTTAGACCTTTCCTTTTGCCTGATCTTTCCAAACGAGAGTGTGTTCTTCTTTTCGAGAACGTGGAATTTCTGAGCCTGGGAAACCAGGCCCGCTGGTCCCATCAAGCTGCTGGTAAAGCAACTCGTACCTGGGGCAAGCCAGCAAACCCTTTTAATCAAACAAGGCAAGCAAAAAAAAAATATATATATATATATATTCGATGAATCTCGATCAACATATGTCGACTGCTGCTACCCTTTTCTGCGAATCGATTCAGGTCTGTACTGTCTGTACTGAAGTGCTTTGGTTTGAAATGCGACCCACGTCGCTTGTGTCATCTGACATCTGACACTCTCCTTGTGGGAGCACTCCATCCGTATTTAGTGACCGAGAGGATACCGCAGGGGCGGTCCTACGGCCACAACGGATGCCAGCTCTGGACAGAGCAACATGAAAGAGTAAATGAAACTCCCTAGTCATCGTCAATACCTGGGACCGGCAGAACAGGTATGATGGCTAGGCGGCGGGCAGCCGAAAATGGACAACCGGACAGCAGCGGCAGACAGCACAGTCCTAGTCTCTCGTGGCTGGCAGCCCAGGCGGCAAGCGTAGCAAGCATAGCCATGGTAACTGAAAGTAACCCAAAACACGGCCCTCAAGCACCAGCAAGGCCAAAGGTGAAGTGACTATCACCAGGAAACCAGACTCTTCCGGCAACAAGCCAAGTCAGCCACCAGCTCGACCAGCACCAGGTGGACATGGAAGTAACTAACAGGGTGTGGCAGGGTGGGAGAAAAAGTTTAACTTGAGGTACCAGCAGCGACACTGCTCCTCAAGGGGCGTCTCCCCAGTTTGGCTTGAGCATTCAAACATTGGGAGACGTTGATTCGAAGCTTCCCAAATAATTCATCATCACCGACCCTGCCTACCTTAAATGATTGAATATATTCGATGAATCTCGATCAACATATGTCGATGCGAATCGATTCAGGTCTGTACTGTCTGTACTGAAGTGCTTTGGTTTGAAAATGCGACCCACGTCGCTTGTGTCATCTGACATCTGACACTCTCCCTGTGGGAGCACTCCATCCAAGGCACTAACGTATCCAAAGCACTCAAACGAACTGAAAGACCTGAGCGATGAGGTGGTAGGGCAGCTGGAGAAGCATGAGCAGGGGGTAGGTGTGGAAGATACGAAAGTCATGTCGTTGGAACCACGGGTCGTGTTCTCCCTGTCTGCTGATGCCATCTGACCAGTTGTCCTTACTCTGGACCCATTCAAAATAGCATGCACTACGGAGTGCAAACAGGAGGCCATGGATAGCCCCGGCCATAGAATCCAACTCATCGTTGTTGCTGCGTCCTCGGATGAGGGCCATGAGTGCTGCGATATTGTCAACAAACCATATACCATGCATTCCGCGAGCTGATGAAGCATTGTATGCAAGGCCCATGTAGACTGTCAAGAGCTCAAGCTGTGCAATCTTGGCCTCATGATGGGACCACACCGTGAAGATCTTTGGGCTGATGTGGACGACATAGGCCCTTCGACTACCACGGGGGTCAATGAACAAGACTCCCGCAGAACCCTCGCGAGGCCTCTCTTGCGCCGCATCGGATGCAGCCAAGTACCGGTGTTGTCGTACTGGATTAAGCGGTAGTTCTCTTTCAGGCTTCAACTGAAGTAGTGCTCGAATTCGGTTCAATCTCCGGTGTCATCACGACTTGCGAGGAGTATTGTCTTTCCTTGATGCTATGGAGGCCCGACCGGCCGAGCTTGCCGAAGCATCCCGCGGTCAAGAATCCCAGGCAGCCAAAAAGTTTGGCCGCCAGGCCTGGAGGGAGGCGACGCGTCTGAATGGCCTCCTCCATGATGTCGGCGACCTTGGTAAGCAATCGTTCACGGACCCAGAACTTGACAGGAGCACCCTGGTGGCAGGCTGCCACGTCGTGGATCAACCCCAGAAAATCAGACTGGGCCGCCAAGGACTGATGTTTCTCCGTTTGGAAGGGTGAGCCAAGGCATCGTGCGAGCTCATTGACGAAGGCCTGGCCAGTGCCGCCCATAATACCAAAATCCTGGATTGTCAAGTCATCAAAGTACATACTGGTCATGCAATAGGCCAGGCGGCGGCATGCGGCTTGGAAGAATCGGGGAAACCGATTAAACGAACATACAGCATTTGGTAACCCGAACAGAGAACCGTAGTATTGCCGAAAACGGGGGCCACCAACGTGGTGTAGTAAGCCACCACGGCCATGTTGCTGTGTGTCGGCTTCATGGGAACATAGCGGTAGGCGTTGGGTAAGTCTTCGCCCCCGGACCAAACACCAGCTTGCAGCAACTCAGACGCATGAGCCGAAGAGGATGCTGCCTGCCATAGCAGTTGAACATGGAGGCCAGGTTGAATGCTCGTACATAGATCCAACTTGTTCGCATCGGAGCTGAGTGCACTTTGCCCTCCGTCTGCAGCGTCATCTATGACTCGCAGCTTACCAGAGGGTTGCTGTATACAAAACCTTCGGATCAGTCTGAATTGGGGGAGTTCCTGGCACAGTTGGGCCCATGTCATTGTGGGGCCACAAAAGCCTTTGGCTTGGTCCTCCTCTGATGCGGGCAGCTTCTGGCAGGGCGTCCTGGTAGATGGAGGCGTCCGGGATGTAGTGAGCTGGTTGAGCCTTGTAGACTGGCACGTGCGGGGGAAAGCCCACGGCGGGGAATCCATATATCAGGTTCGCCACGAACGTAGTGTCTGGCCATCCGGTAATCAGCATGATAAGCCCAATCAGGGCGATGTGGCGACCTCGAGTGGCTGATCGGACAGGTGGTGGCTGATAAGTTTGGAGGTGGTAGGTGATAGGCCACATTCGACGACTCAGTTCTTGGAGCCAACGGCCTGTACGTCTCCTCACCTCACGAAGACCCACTCCCTGGGCTGCATAGCCAGATGCTGCAAAGATCAAGTCATCATCGACAACACCCATGGTTTCAAATGGGGTAGGTCTCTGCTGCAGTTCAAGGGCGAGTTCAAAGTGTCGCTCCTCCCCTACGCCAAAGGGGATCATAGGTGGTAAGGCTTTAGCAGCAGCAGCCGCTCCGGGCTGCTGAAGGCCACTCATAGCAATGGCGTTGCGCTCCAATGGGCCCACCAACCGTGGGCCAAAGGCGTGTCCGTCCCAGTCTGGGCGGTTCTGCATGTAGTTGAGCCATTGGTAGTGCGAGTCGTCCACTAGCAGGTCTTCGAGCATGGGCCACTGGAATCCCTCCCAACTGACGGCGAGGTAGTACGTGAAGTAGTCCAAACCAAGGCTCGAATGATATCCCCATGGCATAGCACGTTGTGGGGGCAGTCGCACACCAGAGTCTTGCCATGCAGGGATGGGAGGTCAGCTAGAAGATGGTCCTGGTCGGCGATCCATCTGGCGTAGTGAAGAACACTCTCAAGAGCAGTCCTGCCCTCCCCTGTCCGGAAGGGGTTTTGCCATTGTGTCAGTGGCCAACGATGGGAAAAGTGCCCGGGGCCGATGTACACGTCCATGTCTGTGAGTTGTGGCCTCAGCTGTAACACATCGAATGCGACTTGACGAGTGGGCACATGGGACGAGTCCTCTCGTGGTGGTGTAAGGCCCAGGTGGAAACCCATGACATTCATCAGGTCTTCTCGCAGCTCGGACGGCTCGAAATGGAGCAGTGGTCGTACGTCCCCTGAGGTGTTGATGGGCGGTAGTCTTGGGATGGCGAGGATACCGTAGCCCTGTCGCGCAGCCCATGCCGTGCAGCATACCGCTAGGGTGAAGACCAAGCTAGGTGTGTACTCCGCTTCGTTGAAGGTGGAGAACTGCCCGAGCGCCACTCGTTGGGGTCATGAATGCGTCCACATCGAACGGCCGGAAGGGAGGATAACTCAGGGATGTTGCGGCGGAACTTTTGGGCTTTACGCCGAGCTCCCCCGAAGACGCATGCATCGTAGTCCAAATCCTGCCAATCATCATCCTGGCACAGGTACTGCTCGACCGGGTCCCACCAGTGCAGAGACCTGAGCGGGTTCTCGCGAAGACATGCGAGGTTCTGTTGATGCCCCCAGGTAGTCACTGGAGTAGTTGTCAGCATCGACCCGTGCCTGTTGTCCCGCGTCCAGTCCTGGTAAACCCCTTCATTATTCCTCGGACCGTAGAGGAGGGGGGCCGGGCCGTTTCTCCCTAGCTCTTGATTTGGTAGCACAACTCATAGCCCCCGCAATAGTGGCCACCCGAGGAAGCACAGCCTGAATAGCCCGACGGACCGCCGGACGCGACACGTCCAGGTCCTGGTCGATCTCGATGTCAATCGGTGTGATGATCTCCCATTGGCACCACAGGAAGGCCTTGGACAACGGTGCGTGGACCCCACTGAACACATCAAGGAGGACGGGGCATGGTGAGGCTTCGGTCTTGTGCATATCAGTGGACTCCAACTCGGCCAAAAATGAACGAAAGTCATGAAAGACAGGAGTGTCCAAAGATTGGCCTCGCCCCCCCCCCCCCAACAGAGGAGCGGCCCTCTTTTCAAGCAGCCTTGGGACATCCGGAAGGCGAGTGCTGGTAAGACCCGCAGACCCGTCCCGATTGCAACACGACGCCGCAGCGGCGTGCACCACGTGGGCAGTTCTTCTTGGTGCGGCGCTGATTGCGCTGGTAGGCCTGACAAAGCTGCGTTCCATCACGAAGGCTGAAAACCACTGACCCCACCGGCCCTGCATCCGCAGGGGGGGCCTTGGCGGGTGACGCGCCGCCAGTAGGTGTACCCGTGGTGATGCTGGGGGCTGGCAGGGCCCCGGCCAACCAAAGGGCGTCGCGCTCCCTCATGATGGCGCTGATAACATTGCCGAGTGTCGTGTGGCCCGTGCACCGGGCTGCCCACTGACCGCGCTCTTCCACATCAAGGTGTTGGACCAACTGCAGGCGCCGCCCCTCCGGGGTGCGCAGAATCAAATCATGGCAGCGGCTGGAGTAGGACAACAGGACGTCGTAGGGAACCTGGACGTAGTGCACAGTGTCTGCACCGAGCGACTCAGGCGCAGACGGCGCCGGCTCCACGGGGCGACACCCCACAATAGCCAGGGCCAAGAAGTAGGTGTCCATCTTGGCCATGTAGGAAAGCCATGACTTAGCGGTGATCTCGTCCTCATCATCCTCCTGGAGATACAGGTTGCCCGTCAGGCGTCGACGCTTCTGGCTATGGGTGCGCTGAAAGGTGAGTGAGCGGACCGTCCACAAATCCATGACCTCGAACTGGCTCCGAGTCAGCTGTCGGCTGAGCTTAGACAGAAGTCGGTCAGAGGGATACTGGCGAGGTTCTGGACGCAAGTGGTAGCGTCGAAAGAAAGCCTCTTTCAACTGTTCGAGCTCCTGTTTGGGAAGCAGCGTCTCTTCCTCCGTCGGCGCTGGAGGCAGGCTGGCCGCTGCGTGCTCGGAGTCCAGTAAGGCTTTGCACGCCGTCCAAGCGAAGCGCAGCCTAGCAGCCTGGAGGCGCCCCTGCATCTCCTCATAGGCAGGATCCTTGATTGTATCGATGAAGAGCTTCTTGATTTCATCCTCACTGCGAGCATAGTGGCGGAACTCCGCAATAGTGCAAATCCCCAACTCAATGATCTTGTCTTTAATGCGCTGCTCGAAGTTGAACTGCAGCGCAAGAGCTGTGAAAGTGTCCTCCGGAGTAGCGAGCTGCTTGGGGACGGTGGCCATGATCCACAAAAGAAGACGGCGGGATCAACGAACGATGGAGAGCAAAGATGGCTGCGGGAGGTCACAGAAGATAAGAGTGAACGGAGACTGCCAAACAACAAATTGATGCTACAGCTGATAGCAAATGGAGCACAGCACAATGTCAACCCTTTTTCAAAAACTCACAGCCGTTCATGGCATAACTACTGAAGCCGCTTGGCAAGCTCCCCGAGCTCCAAGCTCAGGCATTGCAGCGCTGGCCAACCGATAGCCTCGCCTGCCGCGTGGGCCTCGTAGTGGGCGGTATAGAGCAACTGACGGAACGGAGCGCGATCGGCCTCATGGAGACTATCATGATGACGCGCCAAATCATCACATGTAGTGTGGACCAATGGGGCGTAGGAAGGCAAAGTACCAGGTCTCGGGGCCGCCGGCCACAATAGCCCTTCCAGCCTAGGCTCTGGGCGTGCTGCCTCCCTGGGCAGGTCTTGGATCTCATCCCACCATTCAATCCATGATTCACATAGGTTCCGTGCAGCGCGCAAATGAACCTGTACCACCCCTAGACAAGAGGTGGAGGTCGGGGGAAGGGCCCTCAAGGCCCGACAGGCCTGGTCCATCTGATCCCCCACCTCCCAAGCACGGGCCCGTCTGGCCTCGCCCTCCAAGGGCGCCAGTGTCACGGCAACGAACTGGATCGCGTGAGGCCGGTCCATTGGCACAAGGTGTGGGCGTGTAGTACGGAGTTCACTGGGACACGAGAGGCTGCAGCAAGCATGCAAGAATCGACTATAAAACTTGAGCGACGTTCAGAATAGGAACCTACTCATCGGGCCGACCGCCGAGTCCCTAGATGAGGCAAAAACTTGCGTAGCACACGAGACGCCCTCTCGGCCTACCCGGTAGGCGTGCTGTTTCTGAAGGACGGCAGCTATTAGTACAAGTGGACCTGGGCATTGCCAGGGAGCACTGCTTTACATGTGATACAGAAATCTCGCCCATAGGCCAAGGCCTCATGAATGCTGCGAGCTCGGTGGACTTCGCCTCGATAAGCAGCATTGCGTTGGCGCCGTCTGCACCAGGGCGCGTTGTCACGCTCCACATGCCAGTGCGATCCTGCTTTCGTGGAGGTGATGAATGAAACTGGGTACCTCGGCAGGGACGGTGGTGTGATGTTGACCTGGCTCCGAGCCCATTTGAAGATGTCAGAGCCGCCCCGCCGGCTGAGCACACCGGCTCGGTCGATAGCCCGCAAACCCTCCAGTCGGGAGTACGCTTCCTCGAAGGAGCACCGCCTAATCCATGCGAGTAGCAAACCAGCCAGCACAGGGGCCCTGTGCACCCCCGCCATGCAATGAACCAGGACGGAGTAGCCCGAATACAGAGTTGCCAGGAAGATAGGCAGCACCAACTTCAATGATGGCCAACAGGAACGTTAAATTGGTAGACCTGGCGGGCGCTGACCCCTCCCCAACAGTCAGCGGCAATCTTGTCCATAGCGCTGAGGCTCATGCCGATGTGGTGGGCCTCCAACCAGGCCCGGTCCGTGGGCAGCCCGCCCAAGTAGATAGAGCCGTTGCCTGCTTCACCCAGGAAAATGAGCGTGGGAGGCTCTGGGGCGCCGCTGTGCCCGGGCCGGCGCCAGCGATCCCGTGCTGCTGCATCAAAAGGCCGCGTCATTCGCCTCCTGTAGGTGCTGAGGCCGCTCCGGCGATGGTTGCAGCACTGAGGGCATGGCCTTGACTTTGGGGGCCGGAGGTGTCGCGCTGGAAGGGCCCGCTGCTGCCAAAGATGAAGATGCCCGAGGTGAGGTCGACGGCAAAGGTGGTGGTGCCCGCAAAGATGGAGTAGATGCCGAAGCTGATGAGGGCGAAACCACAGGCAGCACGGGTGGCACCTTTGGCGGAGGTGCCTTGGGCGGCGTCACCGGTTGGGCGCTGCCGCCAGCAGCAGCCCTGGGTGGAGGCTCCACCCGCGCCCGCTTCGCCGGCCGCGAAGGACTGGTGAACGAAAATGTCGACACCGTGTTCCTCGGCCCCTGTGTGGGCTCGGTCACCGGGCCGGCAGCCGCAGTTGGGGCCGGGCGCTTCCGCCTGAGCGCGGCAGTGAGGCGTTGGCCAGTAGCTCGAATGATCTGGACCTGAGCCGGAAGCAAGGTCTTGACCACAGGCATGCCAGGGATGGAGTCCGTAGAGACTCGGCGGATCTGGGGGTCAGAAGCAAGGAGCTCGTCAGCCTCCTCCACGCAAGTGGACCATCGTGCAGAGGCATAGCCTGTCGGCAGTTCGTCCCACAAAGCCATGTTGAGGTCCTGGAAGAAGTGCAAACTGGCCAAGCGCAACTGGTGTCCCAGGCGTTGTTTCCGTGAGTCATAGCGCAGGGGGGTGGTAGCCGTAGACTTGGAGGACTGATCCACCCATTGTCCAAGAGCGAGTCGCTCTGTCTCCGATAACCCCACATATCCTGCCAATGTCGGAAGCACGCGGCGGAACGAATAGGACGAGAGGCTGGTAACGTCCATAGCCGCACTCAGGTATGGTCGTAGGATCCGAACACACTGCGCTGCGCCCACCGGCTGGGCTGTAGCAGAGTCGAACCCCAACCAATGAAACCGGCGCCGGTTCTGGGGCGCACTGTGTTCAAATGGGCGCCCAACACCTGTAGGAGGTCCAACGTGCCACAATACCGTGGAACGCTCCAGGCGAAGCCTCCACGACTGCCAGTCTTACCTTTCGTGCACCAGAATACGAGGATGCCCCCGTTACCGCCGACCAAGTAGCTCCGTTGCAAATGGGTGTACCTGACCACACCAAAACATAGGGCGTAGGCACAAAACACCATGGGCCAGTGAGGACTGTCAACTGTGGATTCCAGGGTACCCAACAGGTGGATGACCATAGATGGCTCCAAAGTCGCCGCCTGCGCCTGCCCCTGGCCGAGGCGCGATCCCAAACCAGCCCGAGGTTTCACCACTTCGGAGAGGTCGAATGGCAACTTGAGGTTGCGGACGAGCCACCCCAGAGCCGTATATGCCCTTGTAGGTGATTTCTGCTCCCGGATGAAGGTGGCCAGGAGGTGTTTGTCCGGAATACCTCCACCTGCGGCCGCAATGACCCCTTGAAGCTCTTGCCACGTGCGCAAAGCCCGTTTCACAGTGGCGGCCTCCGCCTTCTGGAGCACATGCGTGAGCTTGGCCTCGAAGTTGGCGGTGATCTCAGCCAAGCGAGCCGCCGGCGGGGGCTCGACCGCCAGCAGGATGGCCATCAACTGGGGCAAAAAGGTCAGTGCGCCGCCGTCAGGGCCGCCCGACTGACGGCCCTGGGTGCTGGGCCGGACTGGCCCTGCAAACGATGGAGTAGGTCGTGGCCTCAATGGTGGAGATGTGGTAGGCCGCGGCGCAGCTTGCGAAACTTGTTCGCGACGAACGATGTCTCGCACCAAGGCCCCAGCGCCCAGCTCCGCCTCTCGGCGCGCCTGGTCCCAGGCATCCGCCACAGCGCGGCCCTGCTTCAGCGCTTCTTCGTAGGTGACGAAGTAAAACGCCAAGTCGGAGGGCCGTTCAATCCCATGGGCAGCGCACCACCGCTCCAGCTTCTGCTGCTCAGCAGAGCGGCGGATTTGTTCGTCAGCGCTTTCCATGGCGTCCGAACCGGGAAGAAAAAGTTTAACTTGAGGTACCAGCAGCGACACTGCTCCTCAAGGGGCGTCTCCCCAGTTTGGCTTGAGCATTCAAACATTGGGAGACGTTGATTCGAAGCTTCCCAAATAATTCATCATCACCGACCCTGCCTACCTTAAATGATTGAATATGTTCCAAAAATTGAGCAAAAAAAACGCAGGCCATCTCTGATCTCTTGCCGACTCCAACTCTATAACTTTGATCGTCTTCAGAGCACTTCAGAAGGTCAGCTCCGTAGTGATAGACCGGAAGGTCTAAGGCCTGAGAGAAAGTGCGAGAGGAACCATGGCCTGCGGCCTGAAGGCATCAGAAACTGACGCAAAAATAACAAAGCCCACATCAGAAGCCCCAGCTGTCCATACCCTGAAAAAAATACCAAAAAACAAGCTTGCAAGTACCTCAAGACTTGACTTTCCACAGCTTTTCACAAATCACGGAGTCCTCTGCGACTCTAGATCGAGGCCACTCCAAGTGCACTCCGTGTCCCTCTTCAGCATTCAGCTTCCCAGTCCACTTCAGGCAGCCGAACGATCAGCAGCCGCTCCGTCCGGCCATGACGGAGGACCCCCACAGGCAGTTCGTCATCCCAGTCCGCAGCACCCTGGACAAGTGGCTCCGTCCAGGGGCCTCAGACCCGAAGAACCCTTTGAGCAAAAAGTTTCTAATAGCGAACATTGTTACTACTAGTAAGGCACTTGTTACTAGAAGCGATGCACT